TCATCATGGGCCATGGTAAACATATTCTTCGTCAGATCTTAAAAAAAATTGAATTAAAAGCTAACAAACAATCAGACGCGCAGTTGCTGCCCAACCATTTTTTTTTTTTTTAAAGAAGTTGAATTAAAAAAAAAAAAAAAAACAGAATTATTTGGAGTTGGCTCGCGAGTCGGCTCGAATTGTGTCAAAACCATTACCGAGCCAATTCGAGCCACATAATTTATGACTCGGCTCGCTCGTACTCAGCTCGTTTAGTCTTTCTCTTTCACGAGCCGAGCTCGTTAAGCAGAAAACTCGGCTCGGCTCGGCTTGATAACACCCCTAGAAACAAGGTAAAGAATAAAAATTCGCAATATTATTAAACCTAAATTCTCTTTGGCATAAAATAAATATCATCTTCAAGTAGCCAAATGTATCATATATGGTATTCAATAAGCTTTATATTTACAGTTACAAGCATTTCTTATAAGTTTTCCTTCTAATATTACAACCTTTTAAGTCATCTATATCTCGTATATAAATTGAATTTTTAGTATTTCATAGATTATGAGGGATATAGAAAAAAAGAAGGAATAAAATGTTCGACTCCAACCACCATTAGGTCCCAAGCTCCTGAGTTCGAGTCCCCTCAGGCCCTAATAGTGGTGGCCATTGGAAGATTATCCGGACGGACTTTTAAGACCCCGGAGGATTAATTGAGGTGCGCGCAAGCTAGCCTGAACACCCTTGGTGATGAAAAAAAAACATGTTCGACTCCCACTGTGATCTTGAAGTCGCTAAAATGTATTTAACCACCCTTGAGTGATCGAGTAGTTGATTTAAGATTCTTGGGTGTAATACTCAAAAGGTCCTGAGTTTGAGTCACCTCGGTTGCTAATAGGGTAACTTCAGGGTCTCGAGGGTTAGTTAAAATATGCACAAGCTGGCTTACCTTCGATCACGATAAAAACAAAGATAAATTTTAATAATTTATTTTACAATTTGAGAGTAAGTCATATATATCTTATTAATAAATTTTTAGTGTTAGCGATTGGAAGCTAAAAAAAATTATTACGGCTTATCCTTCTCCTTCACCAAAACCCATCACTGTAGTCCCCAACAACCCAGGCTTCCAAGGTCAGTTATATAGGACACAAAAATGGAGGAGCCCATTGGAGCAAGCAAAAAATTCAATTCAATAAAGTATCCTCTTTTCTCTCTTTATTGTTGTTGATGTTTGATTTTGACACCGACAGCTCCAATGGACAAAGTCTAAGCTGCTCTTAGAAACTACATGTGAATGATTGGGATAATCTAATGCAAAAATTAAATAATAAATAAGAGATGGTTTTTAAAGTGGTTCGGATGCTTAAAGCAAATCTTATGTCTGCTGTTTCTTTTATATATGAGAGATTACAAGAGGCCGCATATAGCGAAAAGTGAGCAGAGGTATAATAACTTAATATTCAGAGAGCATATCAAGTCAGTTTCTTTCTCGTAGGTTGTCTTTGCTCTGAAAATAAATATTACAATCAAAATGATGTTTCAAGATCAGAATCCCAAATATGATAGAGGGAGTCATCTACTTATAGTAGATGTTGTAAAGTGAATGCTGAAACGGCGTCGTATTGTGTTAAATGGAACGGCGTCGTTTTTGGGACAGCCCATGAGTAATCCTGACCGCAAATTCAGAAGGGGAGCCAACGGCTGAGATCTTGCCTGAAGTCAACACTATAAAAGGTTTAGGGTTTCATATGGTAACCGTAGATCGAATAACGATTGAGAGAGAGCAGTCTTCGTTTTTCTGTAAAACCTAGGGTTCTTTCTTTGGGTCTAATTCTTCTGTGTAATCTGTGGGTTCTTGAGTGATTTGGGGTTAATCAGTCAAGGGAAAGAACTGCTGTGTTCTTGGTATAGGATTTCCAGGTTAGAGGAGTCCTAGGGCAGATTACGGGTTCAGAAAGTGTTATTCGATCCGGGTTTCTTGGAGTGTCTTTCTCTTGTAATTGAGACTGTAAATCTGGTGTTCTTTAATCATAGTGCAGCGAACTCTATTTCCAGAGTTCAACGTGGATGTAGCTTGCTCTAATCGGGCAAGTGAACCACGGTAAAAGTTTATGTGTTGTTGATTGTTGTTTTCTTCTTGATTTCTTGTTTGGTTTAGTTTGCTTTACAAGTTGATTGCATGACAGTAGAAGAATTCAATGTAATGATTACAAATCTGTAAGTGGATAGGTGTCGTGCAAGTCTTTCCTTGTCTCCCATTGGCTGATAACTTAGAAAATATCCTTAAGTTACCTGGGGGTTGGACAAGTGTGTGGCCCTCTATCACTCATAGACAAAACCTAAATCTGCCAAGTTGATGACAACCATATTCTTCCTGTTATAGCACGACGTGGCACCTCTTGGATGGCGCAAAGCCTTTCTGAATTCTGATTGGTGTTTGCTGACATAAGTTAACGTTAGCCATGATTTTTTAGACATAACAATTATAAAGCAAAATTATGATTTTCTTTTCAAAAAAAATTTTACGACAAATTTAATCTATTATTTTTCATAATTAATTATTATACTTGTTCATAAATTTATAAATAGCTAAGTGAAAAGGCTATTCGAATATAAAATTTGTTTGGGGGTTTTGAGAAAAAGTAGGAACTCAAATATTTGTTTGAGATAGTAGAACTCAATGAGATTGGACAAATTAAACTTTGCCAAGGGCATCTAGAATTGGATTCCCGAGGACAATCAAATTTGAAGGTGAGCCTCTAGAATTGGATTCCTAACAACAATCAACCTTAAAGAGGAGCATATAGAGTTAGAATAACTTTAAGAATAGTGCATAAAATTTAATTTAATTAATATCGATTCGGGACATGTCAACAAACTCAACACAGAAACGCAACATCACTCTATAAATTTTTCCAATTAATATAGTCATATTACTTGAAATTCAGGATTATCTCCCTGACCCTGAAGTTATAAGGGTCTAATATGCCCTCCAATAGCCATCTCTATTAGCAATTGAGGTGACTCGAATTCGAGACCTTTTGAGTAATATATCTACGAGTCCTTATCTAACCATTCAACCACCTAAGCTGACACATTTTTCTTGGTATACCCTTCTGTTGCCACTCTTCCTCTTCTTGCATACGTATTCAGGACTAATCCCTCGGCCCCGAAGTTAAGGGTTTGATATAACTTCCAGTAGCCATCCCTATTAGCAATTGAGATAACTCGAATTCAGGACCTCTTGAATAATATATCTACGAGTCCTTATCCAACCATTTAACCACCTAAGCTGACACATTTTTCTTGGTATACCCTCCTGTTGCCACTCTTCCTCTTCTTGCATACGTATTCAAGACTAATCCCCCCACCCTAAAGTTAAGGGTCTGATATAACCTGTAGTAGTCATCCCTATTAATAATTGAGGTGACTCGAATTCAGAATCTCTTGAGTAATATGTTTACGAGTCTTTTTCCAACCATTCAACCACCTAAGCTAACACATTTTTTGTGGCATACCCTCATGTTGCCCCTCTTCTTCTTTTTGTATATGTATTCAGGACTAATCCCCCTGACCCTGAAGCTAAAGGTCTAGTATAACCTATAGTAGTAATCTCTATTAACAATTGAGATAGCTCAAACTTAAGACATTTTGAATAATATATCTACGAGTCCTTATCCAATCATTCAACCACCCAAGCTGATATAGTTTTTTTGGTATACCCTCCTACCTGTTGCCACTCTTCCTCTTCTTGCATAAGTATGTATACAAAAGACAAAATCAACAACTATATTGTTATACGGGTGTCACCGAGGATGAGAAATATTGCTACCATTTTTGGCCAATGTAAGAGGGTTATTTTATTAATCTAATCTATCTTTTCAAGTTTCAAATAATTTGTAATGAAGCTCAACTAGAGGTGGGCAGGGACCGGTCCCAAGCAGGCCCAGGCCTGGGCCCGTTTGGGACTGGTCCCAAATGGGACCAGTCACTCATGGGCCTAGGACCTCATGAGAAAAATTAGGACCCAGACCAGGCCTTAGGCCTGGTAGGGACTGTCCTATGGGCCCAGGACCGATTCTAGGACCAGTCCCATGGGGCTTGGATAATTAATTTTTCCTCCCTCAATTTTTTTTTTATATTTTGGGGGCAAAATAAAATTTTACGAGAGGTTTTTAGTATTTTTTAGAGGTAAAATTTATAAATTTTTTAGACGTGGAAATTTTTTTTTTAATAAATTTTGTAAAATTTTATTTTAACCCTTTTAATTTATATTTATTTTTAAATTAACATGGTTTTTTATATAATTTGGTAGAGGACTATATTGAAAAAATATAAATTTTTTTGGGCCTAGTCCCTAGCCTTGGAGGAGGGTCCAGTGGAGGGTCCGGGTGTTCCTCCTTAGGCTTGATCCTATTTTAGGACCAGACTTCTTCGAAGATCTGTTCTAGAACTGGATTTTTGAGTTAGACTTTTTTGCCCGGTCACAAATGCCCACCCCTAAGCTCAACTCAACTTCAGTGGTACCAGTAAGAATTTGTTTTACGCAGAGGAAGTGTTTGTCTGGGAATTTGTGAAGATCAAGGGTAGAATGGAGAGGTCCTCGACTCCTCCGACTGTGAATCTCTGATCCAGGACCTGCCATAATTGTACTGTAGCTTCATTGTTTTTCACCACTTCAAAATTTAAAGCTGACACATTTTATATAAACAATTATTTCTTCTTCACCGAACTCTTTTTCCCTTTCTTCTTCACCGTTGGATCATCATCCAACATCACCCTTTCAATTGGTTCTTGGTATATCCTTCAAACGTGATTTTCTTTAAACTTCTGGACCCCCGTTTGATTGGTAGTAATCCCTGTTAATAAAGAGTATTGATTCTGAAACAGTACCAGATATTCTACAAATCAAAAGCGTGGGAGAATACATACATTATATCAAAAGTGGAAAGCGTGAGTTTCACACTTGGAACCACTCTCTCACTTACTCCATTAAATTTCAAATCCTTGAAGCCATGAACAACTTTTCGTCTCCTCCACCGTGGTTGTCTTCTTCTTCTTCTTCCCGTAATGTTAAGGCCAGGGTTGGCAACCCAGATTGGACCGCTCTCCCTTTTAACCTTCTCTTATCCGTAAGTAAACACCTCCCAACAAGAACTGACATTCGGCATTTTCGTGTCGTCTGTCTCTCGTTTATTTTCGCAGTCCCCTCTCCTCCAAAAATCCCTTTTCCAACCTCGAAACTCTCCATCTCTCACCCCATCATTGGTCCACTCCGTATGTCTCGATCCAACTTTATACTGTCCTACTCAACAGTTTATGCTATTAAACCTCTTCACAAAATCATCTACACTCACAAAACCGCTAAAACGTGGCTAGTTAGAGTCACGGAGCTGAGCTCCGGGCTGCTCAGAGTCGAGGATCCGCTTTGCCCCGGTCTTTTTGAAGCCTTGAGGTTGCCAAAAGTGTTGGATACGTTGAAATATCACGTTACGGAAATCGCTAGAGTGTACACAATTGAAGTAGACTCTCCTGAAAGGCGGTCCGGCGTTTTCAACAAAGCGGTTGTTTCTACAGGTCTTGGTGGTAAGGATGAGTTTTCTGCCATGGCAATTCATCGTCAAGGGAAACTGTTTGTGTGGAAAATTATTAAAAAAAGAATGGGTACAAGTAGAAAGAGATTTTGATAGCTACGATAGTCGATTTGAGTACATTGTTTATCATGACAGACAATTCTATGTCGTGGGCGAAACGGGTCTGACGATATCTGTGGATACTCGGTCCTTGAGCGTTACTCATGTTGTGTTCCCGCTGCAAAATTTAAATTTGGGGACAAGACACTTGGTAAAATCACCAAATGATTTGTTTTTAGTTGTTAAGTACGTGAATGTGCTTGTTTTCAAGCTTGATTTTCGGGCTTACGAATGGGTTAAGGTGAGGAATGAATTGGATAAGAGAGTTTTGTTTACAGGTAATGATTGTTCCTTCTCTCTTCCACGAGAGAGTTTGGTGGATGTAAACCCAATTCTGCTTATTTTGTAAATGGTTACTGTATAGGTGACCATGATTATTACCCCGGAATGGATACTGGGATTTTCGACTTGACAACTAGTTATGAAGATTCGATCATGGAATTTCCAGGCTATTCAATGCTTTTCTGGTGATCAATGTTTATGTATTCTTGCTCTTTTTGTAGCTCTGTGTTCTGATCAACAATGAAGATCAGAGCATAGAATTGGATGCAGGTTTTCAATAGTCGTTAGAGCTGTTTATGCATACATGCCATGCTATTTAAATACAGCTTTTTTTTTTTTTTTTTTTTAATAACCCATCATTATTCCTTCATATTTATGCATTTGATTTTTTATATTCATTATTGATTGTTCAAGGAATATATGTACAAAATTTGTCTGTAATGTTATTTCTAGTATAAAATTCTTAAACAAAGTAATACTATTTATTAATCATTATAGAGTTATCTATAGACTATAATGCAGTTTATCATACCCACAAAGAGTTTGCCAGTTGATTAGACTGTAATTTGCTCCTACAAAGTTAGGGCCTTAAACTGGGGTGGGCGGGTGTGGGTACCCGCCCAAATCCCATGGAACCGGAATCAAAACTAGTCGATTCCTAAATTTAAAATTAAAATTGGAACCGGTCGATTATGGTTCCTAAATGCCTAGAATTGGAATTGGAACTTGAACTGAAATTGGAACTTAAAACACAAGTTTTGTTTCAGGTGCACAAAAAAATTACTAGTACCTCCTACTATTTACAAAAATTATAAATACACCCCAAATACTTACAAAAATTACAAATACATTCGATTTCTATCAAGTTCCTAGATCTCGATTTCGGTTCTTGCAATGGTGGAATCGGAATTGCACAGTATCGATTCCAATTTTTGAGAACCGAAACCGACCTTGTAAGGGACAGTGTCAGGTAGGAACTAGAATCGGAACCCCAAGTACCCGCTAGTTTTAGTTCTATCCTAAATTTCTGCAAACCTATAGTTTAAACCGTTCAAAGATATTAGAAGTTGTAATTTGTTTTATATCGTCAATTTAGTTGACTGTTATAGTATATATATACTAATTTAGTGGACTGATATGATATATATGCTAAACAAGTGCGTAAAAAAGATTTTTGGATTAAAAAAGAAGAGAATAATTAAAATTTTGAATTTTTTACTTTTTGATGGAACTATTTTTTAAGATATGGGGATTACTCATTGCTAAGGATTTACGAATTAATCCCTTTCCCGTTCTATATAAATGTAGAACTCATCATTGTTCAGAGAGTATCCCCTCGATTTCATTTGATAGAGATAGAGCCATGAGCAGAGTCGAACTTTCCTCCTCTATCCCCTTTTCTTCTTCTTCTTCTTCTTCTTCTTCTTCTTCTTCTTCAATGGGTAGCGTTCCAGCACGCGACTGGGGGAGTCTCCCCAAAGATGTACTTCCCTTGATCTCTAAAAAATTGTATTCAGGACACTATACCCGTCAGGTTCGCGCCGTCTGTCACCATTTTAAATTCTCAATTCCGAATCCTCCAAGACCCCCAAACCCACGATTGGATCTTCCATATCCCTTCCCTGTTGAATATCCATCAACAAGTTTCCCTGATGAGTTCTATGTACTCGTCGAGTCCAAAATTTATGCCATTGAGCCTCACAATGCTGACGAAACCACTCGGACCTGGATGGTTAAAGTTCAAGAGTCCCATACTGACAGAGTCCAAGTGGAGCACCCGCTCTCTAGGTTTCTTCCTCCACCGTTCGCCGACAACTTACCCAACGCTCTGAATTTGCTTGATCTTCGAGTAGTGGAAGTTGATAAAAAGTACAGACTCCAGCACTTTTCTGGAATTGAAGGTAAAATCCTTCCTGTTAGCAATACGGAACCTATATCTTTTAAGAAGGTGGCTGTGACTACTTGTTATAGCCAGGATGATGATAAATTCACCATTCTGGCGCTGTTTAATTATAAACTTGCTCTTTGGAGAAACGTTGACAAGGACTGGATTATTATCGAAAGGGATCCTGATAAGTTTGAACGTCATGATGTGTTTGTGGATATTCTTTACCACAATCAAACTTTCTATGCTTTGACCATGTCGGGCATCGTCACAAGAATAGATGCAGAGACGTTGACCTTCTATAAAATTACTCAGCCAGCCCAATTTGGTAATAAAGGGATTTTACACTTGGTCGGATCGCTGAATGACTTGCTTTTAGTTGTGAAATACCAAAGCTGGTTCGAGCTTGGTACTTATGACGGGTTGTCTTTCAAGGTTTACAGGCTGGATATGAGAAGGCTAAGTTGGATTCGAATGGAGAGTGGTTTGGAAGATCGAATCCTGTTTCTGGGTGATGATTGTTCCTACTCTGTTTCTGCCAAGGAGTTCCATGGTTGTCGAGGGAATTGTATTTATTTCCATCATTTTAAATGCTCAAGCTTTGTTATTACTAAAAATGTTCAACCCAGCAAGAAAATTAGCGTTTATGACTTGACTGAAGGTGCTGTTGTTGAAGGATTTCCGGAGATCTTTTCTCCTCCTCCATGGTTGGAGCACCATTCTATGTCAGTTCCTCGTGACCAAATGTAAATGCTTCTCAGCACTTTCTATATCTTTATTCTTATGCCCCTTATTTACTAAAAATGTTCTCTTTTTTAATATATCCGGAAAATGAAAGAATATTTAAGTCCCCTAGTACATGAATTTGATTATTTTTCTCTGTGTTGATAGCTCTGAAATACCATACCATAATGAATCTCCAAGCTGTGTTCTTTTTAAACACTCTGTGTTTTGTATACTGGCAAAAATTATTCAGCATATTGTCTTATGAGTAACTTGCATTGTGAACTAAAGGTTGCTAGTACAGAAACTTGATACTAGATTTTATTGCTGTAGCAAACTTTTCTTTCAGTTTCTGGTTATATGATCACTGCTTCAGTTTTTCCATTTTTCTGTATATTGAGGCTATTTAACTGATTGCAGGAGAACTTTAACATATGCGGTTGATTGCAACTAACCTATTTATTTCCACTTTCTTTTCCTCTTTCAGCGGATGATCAAAACAGAATCTATAGCTGCTTCAGGGCAATTCGCAGGCGGGTCAAGTCTCCAACATCGTAAAGTTTGTAGTTTATAGTTCTAACTACTCTAAGTTGCTGCAGAAGCCTTGTTCTTAGTATTTGTGTATATGTACCAGTTTAAGTGTGTCATAGGAGTATTATGAGTAGTGTTTCAACTATAGATGGTTGAGGTGTTGGTTTAAACTATTAAGCGTGTACTGAATATGGATGATTGAGAAGTTTTGTTAATGTAATAATGCTAAGTTTACTTCCTAATTCTCTTTGCTACACCTTTTAATCTTGTTGATGGTTTCTGATTGATGTTATTTTTAATGTACCCCAATATATATATATATATATTTTTTTTTTTTTTTTTTGGTGACCGGGATATCCAGTCAGTTTGTGTGTAGTTTGACTAATTTATGGGATCTATTGAACACTCTGTAAGCCCAATGGACCACGTAAGTCACAAATGTATCCCAGTATGTAGTCATGCAATTTTTTCTAACGTTTGCAGTTCACAATCCCTTCACGTAAAATGTTTTTAGATTCATGAAGGTTCATTTACCGAGCTTTAGAAGCTTATAAGAAGGGAGTGGAGTTATCGATCATGTGTCAGCAGCCTATTGTCGGTATCGGGAATTTCCAATTACATTGTGAATATGAATGTGAAGCTATTGCAATGATCTATCTAGTTGTACGAGTATAACCGGAAAAAAAATGATACATTTAAACGGTAATCGTTTTTCCCTTCTACAACCAGAAGATACATTTTGTTATTTGGAAGTGTAGATCGGTTAGAGAGTCTTGTTCTGAGACCACCCGACTCGTCGGAAATTCTATCTATGGAGGTCAGTCGTCAATAGTCGTGAGAGAGAACTTGAAGTTGACAACTACCTTAATTGTCTCAGGGTTAAACCGACACTAGGTGATGAATAATTGCACTATAATTGCACTATACTTAAGAGGAATCATAAGTTTACACTACTTCTTCACCTAATTTCTGTCTATCATTATCAGCATTAAAACTTTGATAGTATCTGTTGGCAAGTGATCGTCCATCAGATCTTCCATCATATTGGCATTTATAGATATATTGACTAAAGTCACTAATCATCGTTTCAATTGGGAACATTGGCGTCGGCTGTACCCAAAATGTGGTGACACTATTAAATTAGCTTTGGCGTATTCGGAGAATGGAAATGGCACTGCTCCCACTCAAATTTTCTTAGTGCTATCCGAAGCCCGGGGGCCCAAAGCTTTTGTTTCTGCACTATGTTCGTTTAATCCTGTCTCAAACAAACTTGCGCGGTTCAACTCAAAGCTCTTCCAACGCTCAATTTTCTTTTAACAATATTACATATATAAAATTGAGCGATTTGTAACCCAACTTACACAACAATTAATTTGGTAACATATTTTTAAGAGTTGATAGACTTCCCCTCAGGTTTCATACCTTTAATTGATGGATAAAAAAGATTATTAAGTTAACGCAAACACTCCATTTCTTTAGCTTCCGTTAGGACTGTGTTAGGGTTATTTTACTTACACCCCTTCTAACATTAAAAACCGATAGTTTTCCCATAATTAGCTCTTACACCCTTTGTTGTCCATTTTTTTGTGTTAAAGTTAATTGAGGGAAAGATAAAATAGAATTTTTATTTTCAAGTTTTTGCCTTTCTCTCAATTAATTTAACATAAAAACTTGATGATAGGAGGTATTACTTATTGTTGGAGTTGTCGACTACTTCAGCATTAATGGGTTACGTAAACACATTTGGGGGTCTCGTGGGCGGTTTGGGTTTTTTCCATATATAACCCCTATAGAATTTCTTTAAGCCATTAATTCTTTATTGAGTTTGGACTTAGAAATAAGAATCCTTGTAAAACTAGGTATTGTCGCTTTAAACCTAATATATAAACATATTTTTCTTTTGTTATGAATATGATAACAATCATAAGACAATTCATTCATCGTAAACGAGAGAGGTGATGAAATATTGCAATAATATTGACTCAACTGGACCTAACCCATATTGGATGAACCAGGGTAAATCACACATGTTATTTTCTCTTTGTTTACT